GGAGGTTCATGATCTGGAGTAGAATTGCTGTCATCTGGCTTGGAGTCATTTGGAGAAGGCTTGGACTCTTCTGGCGAACTGTTACTTTCATCCTTTGGTCGAGGAATGGGGTCTACAGGAATAGGTTCGGATTCATCGTCACAAGAGCAGTCCTTACTATCTGGTGGAGGTTCATGATCTGGAGTAGAATTGCTGTCATCTGGCTTAGAGTTATTTGGAGAAGACCTGGATTCCTCTGGCGAACTGTTACAACCATCTTTTGGGCGAGGAATGGGGTCTACAAGAATAGGTTTGGGTTCATCATCAGAAGAGCAGTCCTTACTATCTGGGGGAGGTTCATGATCTGGAGTAGAATTGTTGTCATCTGGCTTGGATTCGTTTGGAGGAAGACTGGACTCCTCCGGCGAACTGTTACATTCTTCCTTTGGTTGGGGAACGGGGTCTACCTGGTTATCTGGAGGACCGTTGTCTTCTGGAGGTTTGTCGTTATCTGGTGGACAATTGGTGTTATCATCTGGAGCAGGAAATTCCGTGTCAGGTACTGGGGATTCAGGAGGTACTGGATAAGGGTCTACTCGATCTGGGCAAGTGCAGTCCATGGTCTCATTCTGTGATTGATTAGTATCATTGACTGGCGCCATCTCTTGTCCACTTGGTAAGGAGGTCTTTGTTGCATTGGCTTGTCTTGGGATTTCTCTTGACTTTGCTGCTCCACCGCTCATTGCTGGTGGGAAGGCGTACACGCTTTTTAACGAGTTTAGGCCAGTTAGGCCGACCACAACGATCACGAAGATCTGTAAACAAAGTTAAATTAAAATACATTTGATGGATGGTTGCTATGGTCTTATTTAGCCCATATTCCTCTTGCCGTAGGAGTCATTTTAGAATAATTAAGTATATTTGTTTGTAAACTGACAATTCTTTATATTTCGGCGCGATTGTAAACGTCGTAGTCGCCATTACATCCTAGGCCTTTAGCCAAACGCCACTTTAGCGCTTGTCTACAGAGAGAGTAGAAATTAAAATGTATGGGGATTACACTGACAAGTGTCAAAATTTACGTCAATTCCATATAATTTCGTTTTCTATTCTACATGTAGACAAGCGTTAAATGGCATTTGGCGACAGCTGCAGGATTGTAATTGGACTCTGTTGATTATAGATAAGTAAAGATAAGGTTTATAATAAACTAATATTATTAAATTAATGTTAATAATACTGAAGTTTATTTCAATTATTAGTACGTTGTACACAAATATTTTGGTGTGCGTGTGTTTCAACTGAAGTCACTTTATAGAAGTCACTTTTTAGTATTCTCTGAAGAAATGAAAATGTACATACCGGATAATTAATCGCCATCACAGCCCGAGTTCGTCAGTGCCATTACCATATGTTACTGCTGCTTGTACCGAGCCCTTTATATGGCTGTGCATCGACAACAGTACGTCAATATTATTGTACTTCTATTACTTATTGCAATTGCAAATATAAATAGCGTAACTAATTACCATTTATACTTTTATAAAACCAGACGTCCGTAGAAATTAGTACAACTGAACAAACAAAATAGATTGCTCGCAAATAGAAATAAATATTTATTTAAATTTTATTGTTGCGTGGTTTTAAAACTTAAGTTTTGTTCATGGCTCGCCTTATTTATGTACAAGTATAAAAATACTTGAGTACCTATTCATGGGAGGTAGGTAACTAAATGGTTACACTTGTATTTCACCGTAGGTGACTGACCTACAGACCAGTATACTGGGCAGAAAAGAATAATACTTCTGTAACAACTCGTGCTTCACCACTCAATTTTCGTTGCTAAGCAACCAAGCTAAGAGGCGTTTTGCAAGAAGTTTAATTTAAGAAAATACCTTAAAACGCTGGTAAAATGTTCAAATGTTACTTTACGTACGAAAATGGACAGATAGACATTCAACTAAACATGTAAACAACATAATATAAATAGTTCATTGGCAGGACGTAAATGACTCAGAGAAACATGTCAATCTATAATGACCTTGTGCGTCACTACTCACTGTGGACACATGTATGCACTCAGCAACTGTCATACTGTAGTTGTTATTGTCTTCTATAGTGACTAATAAGATTTTTAAAAGAACAACCACAATAATACTCTCATCCATAATGTATTTACTTCGGACTTTTTATTTATTTTTTTTCCTTGTTATCTGTTTCACATTTCATTTAGTGCACAAAAATATATAATCTATGTAACAACCATCCCAATTAAAAAGTAATTCTGTAATTTAAATTTATCCACGTTTTTATAGTTTGTAGCTTCAAGTTTGCCCCATTGTATTTGCGAAGTAGATTTATGGGAATCTGTGGCAACGTCGTGAGGAGTGTATTTGTTAAATCTATTATTTTACTCACCCGTGTTATATTTAATATACTGCTGTTTGTTGCCCTTGATAAATAAATAAAAAAGACTAATTTTAGGTCTATTGCTTATCCCACGAAAGCTTGCTTCAATTGAGCACTTATCGCTTAATAGGGTCCTCATCATCATCATCATCATCATCATCGGCCTATAAATTGACTGCACGGTTGGTACGGTGGCTGGGCAACCGGCTGCCATGCAACGTGTCGCGGGTTCGATTCCCGCACGGAACAACACTTTGTGTGATCCACAAATTGTTGTTCCGGGTCTGGGTGTCATGTGTATGTGAACTTGTATGTTTGTAAACGCACCCACGACACAGGAGAAAATCCTAGTGTGGGGCAAAGTTTTAAAAAAAAAAAAAAAAAAAAATGCCCACTGCTGGCCAAAGCCTCTTCTCACACGGAGGTCTGACCATTAATCACCACGCTTACGCTTGTTCAATGCAGGTTGGCGACAACAAACTTATAATTAGTAATAAGCCCAGGTTTCCTCACGATGTTTTCCTTTGCCGTTTGACAGTGGTGTCTAGATAATCTTAGAAAGTACATATAACTCGGAAAAGTCTTGACTTGCCGTTGGTAGGTCTCGAACCTCATGCATGAGAAGCGGGCGTTTTAAGCCTCCGGGCCACCACGACATGCGGCTTAATAGGATGGGTGTCGGAATGTTGCTCAAAATTAGAATGCTTATTTCAGCCACGCTTGCAAATAGATGGGCGTGAACGCCTACCTTTTATGCCCGGGCCACACCAACGAGAAATGCCATTGCTTATCGCGAGCATGCACGTTCACCGTAGGAGGTGTAGCCACGAGACAACGCGATAATTTGACAACGGCATTCACATTGCCGTTTGGCATGATGGGCATTCGAGTTTATTTATTTATTTATTACAGTCACAACGGTTGATAACAAAAACCAATTAAAGTAACTGGACACATTAATAAAATACACGATGAAATAATAAAACTAGAACAAAACATACACAACGAACCAAAAGAGTAAAACTTATTTTAAAAAAATGGTAGCATTCATAAGTTCCTCTCGCAGTACTTCAGGCATTCCGATAAAATTTTCTTCCATCCGTCCGCAAACAAATCACTAGTTGGATTGGAATCCAAGAGACCATTGAGCGCGGCCAGAGTGCGATGAATCGGTTCTTTAGCCCGTGCTACGGTACGACATGAGGGCACGGCAAACAATCTGTGCTTTTTACCCCGGCAGTAATTGTCTGGAACGTAAAAACGTGATAGTGACTCCCAGTATGTCCGGAGCGTCAATAGCGCCACGGAGGGTTTTACAGGCTACTACAAGTTGGTTTCTTGCTCTCCTTACCTCTAGTGAGTTATATCCAAGACTACCCAATAAATTGAAATTTCAAGTGTAGCCACCCACTTTATCGCGTTAAAATTATCGTAGTAAACATCGCGATAATCGGCTTTGACGTTGACGTTAGTGTGGCCCGAGCATTAGAGAGAGATCCTATTTTTAGTGCATTTGTAACAGAAACCACCTTCATTCAATACGATTTCTTTAGTTCTCTTCAAAACAGTGGTTAGTGTTCCAAAGCAGAGCTTATCTTAGAAAATCTTATTAAGTTTTTAACATAATCTGAAACAAGAGAGCCTTTCGTTTCGCGTCGGTTTTCTGTGAGGCCGTGGTCACTAGGGTCGAGCCGGCTCATTCGTGCCGAAGCATGACTCTCCCACACTTAAATAATAATTTTGTTCCCCAGGCTACACGTTGGGAATTCCTGACACGGTGATGGGCTTGACGTTCGTAGCGGCCGGCGTGTCGGTGCCCGACGCACTCTCCTCGCTCGCCGTCATCAAAGAGGGGTGAGTTTTATGAAGATATTTAAAATAAATAAAGAATCAAATATTTTTTTTAATTTATTTATAAACAAATTAAGTAGAATTGAATGAAGCATACCGTATTTTTCTGACTATATGGCAATTGTAACCCTCTCCTTGTTCGACCAATAGGAAATTAGTTAGTGTCATGCTATTGGACGTTTAATATTTGACAGTTGCCGTGATTAGAAAAAAAACTACTTTGACAATCGGAACGGGGTGGTTTTTAGCTAGTAAGAGTCTGATACTCCCTCAAAAAAATGCTTGTTTGGGCTACTACTTAAAAAAAAAGCCAAAACGCCCAAAGTTCCCAGTCACAGTTTTCCCCTAGTTTAGGAGGCAGGGTTTCATAAATGTACCTTTTCTGTAATAAATAAAATTATATATATAAATATATTATCTATATATATAAAAGAAAGTCGTGTTAGTTACACTATTTATAACTCAAGAACGACTATATCGATTTGGATGAAAATTGGTGAGGAGGTAGCTTAGAACCAGGAGACGGACATAGGATACTTTTTACCCAATACTTATTTTTTACTTTTAACCGAAAATCAAGAACGGTTACGGGAAATATCGGAATTACGCGTACGAAGTCGCGGGCAGCAGCTAGTATTTAAATAAAATTCAGATATACAAATACTTTTAAATTCTGAAACATACAATAAAATATTTTTTTACTAGCTTTAAAGGGAGGTGCGCGCTTTCGATTGTCTAAACCGATTTTAATGTTGATCTTAAAAAAGTATTACACTTAGGAGAAGGTTTTAGTATATTAATTAACCGACTTTAAACAAAGACGGGGTTGAAGTCAGTTTTTTTAAACGTATTTTTGATGAATGTAACAAACGTTGTTGGTATCAATATATTATAGTAATAAATAAATAGTAATAAATAAAAGTAATAAAAAAAATATTATTAATTTATTATTAATTTATTTATTTAATGTGAAAATATTTTTTCATTTTCGCTCAGTTACGGTGACATGGCGGTGTCAAACGCGGTCGGGTCCAACGTGTTCGACATCTTGGTGTGTCTCGGGCTGCCGTGGTTCATACAGACTGCCATCATACACCCTGGCTCACACGTCAACGTTTACCATAAAGGTAAGGCCTTCCATTATCTTGTTTTATAACTATCGTGAAACATACTGAGTTAACTAAAAATGATGGGTTACTTACGTGAATATACTGAGGAAAGCTCTACTAGTAGCCCTCAGCCTGCAGTAGGCTGCGCGACATCGCCGCGACCGCGCACGCTGCTCACGAGGAAGAATCCCTCAAGACTCAAAACTAGTAAAGCTTTTCACAGTATATTATTTTACGTGAGTAACTTGTCCTTTTTAGTTTCTTTCACTATCTTTGTTTGTTTAAACATTTATTGTGACTAACTGCTGTATGTAGTGTCGCCGTTTCAATTCCCGCCATAAAATTAAGTATCAGTTTTTAACGTTAGGTAGTAAAGGGCAGTAGATATAAACCAGTTGCTCTATGCGAAATACTGACATTCTAGTTCAGAAAGAAAAGTATTTGTTCATTCTCACAATTCTTATTCCAGGAGTTCGTATTTTGTACCGATTTATTATAATACGAAACTTATTTTAGAATATATTTCATTTTCAGGTCTCATTTACTCGACCCTCTCTCTATTCTCCACTGTGATCTTCTTGGTAGTGGCGACCCACGCAAACGGCTGGAAATTAGATCGCAAGTACGGCGCTGTACTGATGGTATGGTACATCCTCTTCATAACTCTAGCCAGTCTCTACGAACTGAACGTCTTCGGATACTACACGCACCCAGATTGCGTTTCAACCTATTAATTTTTCAACCGGCGCCATGTTTAATTTTTTGACGTTTGTTTTTATTATGTTGGCATGATTGGAAGTTCTGTCAAAACCAACAATATGTAATCTCGCGGAATTTGAATTTGGAATCGAATTGAATGTAAGAATATGATGGATATGACTTGAAAGTAAACCAAAGGATTAATAGTAATTATGAATGAATTTCGTAAAACAAACACTATTTATTTGTAACTTAAATCAATTACCGGCCTATGTTCAGTAGTTATTATGATTTATTTTATTTACGTAATATGTATTACCAAAACTAGTTAAGTTTTGTAAAAACGCTATTGTCTTATGATTAATGAAAAGCATCGATGTTAGTTTCAGTGTATCTTTTATAATGTAAAAAAAATATATTTAGCGTGTGCGGACTTTAGCGGTCCGAGGTTGAATAATATTTCTAAACACTTTTACAATAGAATTGCTAGTGTTTATTTATGAATAAAGTTAAGCGAATATTTTTATTTAACACACGCTTTTGACAGGTAGGCAATATAAGAAATAATATTTGTCAGTATTTCTGTATTACTACAAATACAATTAAATGAGGAGACAAGCAAATAGAAGATGAAACTAGTTAAATAATATTGTCGTAAATAGCTTTGTGGAGCACTAGAGTTGCTTACGCACAAATAGCTATTTTCTATCTACTCGTGAGAATCTCAGTACCTATCTTTACTTATGTGAATGTGGAACAACAAGAATATTGTACGCTGTTCGATGATTTTATGGTTGGCGTGTAAATATTGCACTTTTAACATGATTGTTATCCATGAAAGACATTAGTTATGGTGTTTAGTGGTAACCACGAAAATTGGGCTGTTCTACCTACAGAATGTTTTGTCTTCATTCTATCTATATCTATTATGGACTTATTGGGTGTTTATGAATAAGACGATTCATACTGAAAATGATATAAAAGTACCTAAGTGTAAAATGTCTTCAGCCTACTCAGTAAAGACATTTATGTATATATTGTTACTGTTAACCTGTTTCTGTGGCGTGTTGTCTACGTATATGTGACTTGAAGCATAATGAATAATTCGCTTTAACGTATATCTAAATATCTTATGAATATTTGCATAGTTTTAGTAAACTGACATTTTGAAAACTTATCTAGTCGCGATTATCGTAATGTGTACTATAAATAAGCCGTTTTTTTTTGTGATATTATTTAAAAATACATTATGACTTAGTCACTTTTCAAATATAAATGTATATTATGTAGTCTAAATTATTAGTTTTAGCGTGAATATAATTTTGTAAATTATATTTTTATTACAAAACATCGATGTTCGACGAATTACTACAATAGGAATGAGGATATTTGATTTTTTATCACAGTTTTGTACTTTTTACTACCTACAGCTATTCGGTAGTGGCAACTGTAGTTCGAATGTAAATAGAGTTCTAACTAGTTTTTTCAATATTCTGATCTTCCACGAAAGTATTGAACATTCAAATATTCTTACCTCTTTATTTTATATAGAATATTGTATATAAGACTTCGTATATCGTAATGACCTACTATATCCCAATTAAATGTACGTACCTCGATTTAATGTTAACAATGTTAGCTTAAAGCCTTAATCTTCATAGTAGTTAGAAGGTATAACCCTATTCGAAGCTACCCATCTTCCAAACACCAGTTTTCCATGTCGATCCAAATACCTCAAGATTTCTTCTTCCTTTATTAAAGCACCACCCCATTCCAATTCTGTGATCTATTTAGATATAATATTATGATAATGTGCGTGTCTATTTAAAAAATACCAAACATATTTACTTAGATATTTTCATTAGATTAGTATTTTCCGTTTTTGTTAATTTTAATGTTAAGAGCCTAAACACGAAGATAGCTGAGCTAATCTCAATTTGTAAGTACTCAGCTACCTTACAGCTAACGTGCGAAAACCAACATATTTTATACACCTTGGTCTTTAAATAATGGTCATACTAGTTTAAGGTGTAATCTATTCGTGTAAAGCTTAAATTAGACCAAAACGAGCCTTACCATCGCTCAAATACAAACGTTCGAGACAACTAGCGCGTATAGTCAATGTTTAATTACCTACATAATTTAGGTATACCCCGGTAGCAAAATACTATAGGCTAGATTAGAGATTGTGGACTTAAAGAGATGCTTCACTCAAACTTCATACTCGCTCTTTAGAATTGTTATAAAATTTTACAAGTATATTGAATACTTAGCTCCTGTTAGAGAAACATTTTCTCTGCCTACAACGATTCTAAAGCGTCAGAGAAAATATTTGACGTGTAAACTAACGAAGAACTTGTAAACGTAAGTGTCAATTAAATCATAAAATATATTAAATTTACTTTATTCAATTATTATGACATGATCCCTATTTTTAAATAAAAGTAAAATTGTGCTGTTAAATGAATGGAATATCCTTATTATGACCAACGCTAATTATGTAGTTTTTAAATTCATGTTCTGATGTTGGCTATACACATTTGGCAACGTTCGACCGCTTTCGGTCAGCTCAGCTTCGTACACGTAGAGATAGCAAGTAACAAATAAAAGATAGGTCTTATATTGTTTGAAAATTAAATAAAATGATCCCAATACCTACTTAACTAGTGAACGTCAATTACATACAAACGTTGTGTATATTAATTAAATTAATTCGTGTGTCTCTTCGACAATAATCATTGAACTGCTTATCTATGTAAAATATTAAAATGAGTTGCACATCCCATAATAGCAAGGCTCTCTACGGCACCTAATAACATTTTGGTGTTTTAAAAAGGTAATGTTCCTAATTCAAATGTATCGAAATGCTTTTGTAGAAAACAAATGTCTTGTCTATTCGCTTAAAATCTAAATTGTTTTCTATATCTATGCTCTGCAAAAGCTTATGTAAATCAAAGAATTATCCCTAATTTGCACTAAACTTTAATAAAAAGTATAAAATCCCAGTTCTAAAATTAAAAATACGCATCAATTATAAATGTCAATTTGATGTTGAATTCAATTAAATAGATAATAAGATAAATATACATGTATGTATAAATAACCAAAAAATGTTTCTTATTTAAACATTTAAATTAAAGCGGTATATAAAAACGGCTAAGAATTCAGACTCTTCAGTCTCAATAAAAAGTATTATTTAATATGGCAACCCCTAAAATTTTATATAAAATGCATTTTTATTCACCTGGCGTGTAAATAGTAGTGGACCATTTTAGAACGTGACATTAAAAATATATTTAAAAAAATATAAAAAATATCTATCGCTGCTGTGTTCTCTTCTGTTAAAATATTATCTAATAGATAGCTAATTGTATTATATGTTTATGTAGCAAAAAGCTTTCATATCAGTAGGTACATAGTACTATTTAATATAAAACTGTGCACTTTTAATAAGCCGATGAAAATACATTGATTGGCACTTGTTTTGCACTGATTAGAAAAAAAATGGCCGCCCTGTCCTAGTAAGTGATTGATTGTTTTTTTTTCATACCAATTGTTTTTCCTGGCGATATGTAAACGATAAAAAAATATTATTATCTAATGCGGTGCAGTCGTTCGAGTGCGCACATACATTTTAAAGTCGTTAAAACAGTGCTGAACGATCTTATTTACATCGGCGTATAAATAATTACTTTGCAGCACATAGTGTTGTGTATCAAATGATTTTAATGTGAATATAATTATTTTAAACGATACTTGTATTTCATAATGTATTCAATACTTAATAATGTATTCGTTAGCTATCTTGCATTTAGCTACATTGCTACGACGTAGCATCGTAGTTATGCTACGGCCTACGAAAATACCCCACTACATGCGTAGCGTAGGTACTACGACAAATAAGTCACACGCTTCGATTACCAGATAGCCCGGTATTCAATATCGGATGGCGAAGTACCATACAATATGTCATACAACCGGTACATAAACGTCTAAACTTCTAACGTGAACGGCACACCGGCAACCGGAACGTATGAAATAAAATTAGCATTTGAACGCACTTTCTGTTGACTGATCTGATTGGAACGTCACACTTCATCACAGCAGTATCAATGGATCAAATATTTTTAAGCCTACCATTTTAAAACAGTAACTTAAAAATATACTCCTACATGAAAGAAGTATTGTAGGCTTGATTTACTTTTAGACTAACAATTATTTAAACATGGGCGCCAGAGCCAGGTCAGAAGACAAATCTAGAATTTCCATGGAAAAGCTCCGAGGGCTAAGTTAGGAATGACTTAGGCCTGGAAAGAACCTCACTAATTTTATAGCCAATCGTTTGATTGGCTATAAAATTTCGATTGTGGGATAGGGTCCCAATGACTTTGACCTAGGAGAAGCCACTTATGAAAACTCAAACAGCCGGAGCTTCTAATTTCTAATGGATCTGTCCATCAATTAGACGGTCATTCCAAAAATTTACGGCTGAAATAGATTCCCAAATACCTACATTACTCGGGTACTTGCTAGTCTCGTGTTAAATCTCTATCGCTACGTCGTGCGTGAGCGATCTAGAAGCGAATGCGATTATGAACCGATGACACGCGGATTCAATGCGATGCCTTTGTCCTACGTGCATGCGAATCATTTCATTATACCTAACCAAACAAAAATGTGACTGCTCCGCATCCGAATATGACAGTTTGCCCAAAAATATCAACTGATCGCGTCCGCGTCATTTCGCTCCGCTCCGCATCCCACCCCACGGGCGGCATATTGTCGCGTAAGTAGGACACTTCAATAGGTTTCAACAGTTTGTTGTTTTTGCACCACCGCCGCACCGCTCCGCATTCGCGTCTAGATCGCCCACTTAGGACGTAGCGTTACGGTAGATGCAGGTGCACCCTCTTGAAACTAATAATTAACCCAGATGGCGCCCATGTTAAATGTGTCACGTAGCACACGTATTTGAACATAACTAAAGTCAATCAGATTTAGTGCATCCAGTACACTTGTCCATTTTGTAATTAAAAGCTGTTAGTTTCTTTGTGAGTTCAGTCCTTCGTTTCTTTGATTTCGATGTACCTAATTGACATTTTAAAATTTAGATAAGCTCGCATTTATTAGAGGTTTCGTTGATCTAGGTAATAGTTGTCTAATAAATTACTATTATTTACTTACAATGTTTCGTGACTTATTCAATTTAGATTATAAGCAACATACTTACGTATTTTAGACGACTGATGAGACGAAATACGGATGTTGTCTATGATGTAATAAAATACATCGACTAATATCTAGTGTCGTTGTCATAGCATTTGTTCTTTGTTGCAATTTCCCTTAGCTAACCGAGTATGTTTCGATGCAAATGAACATTTGGTGTATTCAGTACTAGATTATATACATACCTATCCTTGTTATGCTGTTTAAATCGGTGTTTTTCTCGAATGTTACGACTTAGATTAGGTGTTCTGTACATAGCTCGCGAGAGCTAATAATAATTATGTGAAAATTTATTGTTAATTACTGTAAGTTATATGACAATGTTGAATAAAGTGTAAAATGTAAACTCTTGTATTTTATTTGTCCTTGTATCATTGACGTGAAGGGTTTCATATGAAAGAAAACAAAGAAATTAGTTTATTACTGTTTATTAATTTATAGAGTGTTGACACACTGAGTATACACACAAGTGGAGACAAAATGCGAGTCCTGAACCATCGTTACTGAGTCTCGAAATAAAACCGAATTTGCAAGGGATGAGATCCATAATATCACTCACAGTGGTCAAACATATACCAACGTTGTAACTGTACATGGTATCTTTATTTTATTTTGTCTCCATTTGTTCGCTCACACTTCGTTCGCACTAATCATTCCGGAAACTTACAGTTATGTCTTAGAAATAACATGGTGTATTATGATACTTCTATCATTCAAACTATGGAAGCATTGTTTAGTGTTCAATTTAAAAATATTACCCACGACACCGGCACTCACGCCGAGACTACACGTGTCAGTTTCCTGTTTACTAGAATTACTTCATTAACATTCATTCAGTGCATGGAAGGACGAAGGTTGTATAAAAACATGAATATTATTGAATAGTTCTTTTAGTCTAATGATTGAGAGCTTGTTTGGTAATTGGAATGTTCTTCATTAGAAAAACTGAGGAGTATACAACCTCAAATGAAAGTCACTCCAGTTACAAGACAAGGTTTCGAGTGTTTGGAAACCTTCAGAATAGCCCCGGTCGAGCTCGGCGAGGGAAGCAAGGAGAAACGTCACGCTGTGGACACCTCAACTGTGTGTTAGATATAGTAACACAAAGCCGTGTCCACTTGACATTTCCTAAAGCTTCCAACGCGCAAAGCCTCGCTCAGAACATTACATGCAGTATCACAATACGCCACAAATCAAACGCAATTAGTGCTTTCTTAAAAAAATATGTAGTGATTAAAACAAGTTTACTAGCTTATTATATTTACAATTTTATAATCTTCAAATAAGATATACCGCCATACCAAAGTCCCTTTGAAACGCGCTCTACCCTATGTCTATGTACAATTTATAAGTGAAATACGCCAAAGTATAAGCAAAAAGTTAAAAATAATCTTAAATACTATGTCGGTTTAGTTAGGCAGAGCACGTTTCAAACGGCAGGAAATCAATTCTCTTACATACTACCACATGTTTTCGTTTTTTTTTTTTACTTTTTTACCATTTTTTCACGTTTGTTATAGACTACTTTATTCATTAGAAATCTGCAATTTTAATGAACAACTCTAGCCAATATTTGTGTTACGTGTCGCGTCGCCGGCGGTATTCCCAACACAATTCGCATATGTACAGAGAACAGATTGAAATACCGCCGAAGGTAACAATCAAATGTGAACACTAGCTAATTAGAAAACTAACATCGAAAACTAAACAATCATCGAGTTACATAACTACAAACTGAATTAATCATGAATAATTTTCTAGTGTAATCGTATCAACATCTGTAATGTAATTTACAGTTAAATATTATACAGTAAACAAAAGAGGATTGGACCGCGTCCAAACAAAGATCATTATATATGTACCACTGCGGTAGTGGTCCTCGACATGGCAGGCGCAGTGCAGCCTGCGCCACATGCAGGGAGGAGCGTCAGTCTGGCGTCCGGCGGCGGGCGGCGCGGGCGGCGCGGGCGGTGCGGGCGGCCCGAGCCTACCGCGCGCGCTTCTTGGCGGCGCCGCCCGGGGCTGCCGAACGTCGTAATCTCTTTCACTGCGGAAGAAACAAACACGTTACACTATTTTATAAAGGCCACATGACATCTAAACAAAAATACATCAAATTACAATGAATTCCGAATTTTACTAATACCAAAGAACGAAAGAAAAGTCTAAATACAGACACGCAGTTATGTTAATAATTTTATCAGATATCTACATCGAAGTGCATTATTACGACAGTAGTAATGAATGACCAGGAAATGAGAGACTATTATTTTCTAATTACATGATTGGGAAAATCTCGTGATCGTAATGTTATTTATCAGAAGCTACATGTTCTAAAATACCCTTTCATGTAAAATAAAAGGGCTACGAGAATATCGCAATGTGTTTACTATAATTTTACTGTCTTATCTAAAATGTCTACATTAATAACGATATTGTAGGCATAAATTACCAGACTTTGTGCTTGCATGTTCGTGTTATTGATTCGTTCAGTAATCATACGCGTGTACTACTTGAAGGTTTTTATTCAAATTATACAAAATTCACATCGTAGCCTGTCGTATGTTGAACCTTATTTCAAACATTACACAGTATTTTTAGTGTTGGCAACACTCATTTTATAATTTATACAATTTTTTGACAATTAATTAAAAATATAAAAATTTACGATGTGCTTTATCGAAAGAGGTTTTATATTTAGCATTCAGTTATGTACAGTTAGCACCAATATGATTGTGAAGCTTAAAAAAGATTTCGTTCAAAACACGTTGCTAGCTGTACGCAACTGGCGAATGTATTAATAATACTATCAATAATGTTTTTAAACCTTATAAAGTAAAAATTTACAGTGAACAAAACGCACACACTCACACACAACGTTACATTCAACCACAGTTGTACACCAATACACCATAAAATAAACAGTTCGAAGGAACGCGACAATTTGATTAGACAGCGACGAGCTACCAAAAACGTCCGCTGAGACAACGGACACGGGATTGTCCATTTAATATTCACTGCTAATATTCACTATAATAAAATATCTAAAATTGAAAAAGCATCTCTATTGCCACTCCCATAAAATAAAGGTTTGATTGTCAAACATTTATTTAGTAAATAACTAATTAGCGCGTCTACTAACAATTTTATGCGACGTTTCATGAATATGCACCAACCTGCTAAATTTTTGTCTATCAAAAAAATATACGAGGGATAAGCTCTACTTTTCTTAGAATATTTTCCATTATTTGATTTTGCGGTCACATAATTATAGTTGTAAAAGATTCTAATAAATATCTGCGTACGTGACTGGCTGAGTCATGCGTATCGTCCCGTAGTACGCAATTTGTTAGCTTATCTGTAGTAAACAAACGACAAACAGCTTTATAACATGTTTACACACACCAGACTATTTTAAAGTGAAATAACAAACAGTACTGAATTGATTTTTTGGGATACAAGACAGGAAAAGTAAAGAAAGCTTTCAAATCGTCTGGGACAAGTCTATTTGGTGAGTATAACTATTTTAGAGTTAGTTTATACTACTTCATGAAAAGAAAGTACCATAGACCCGCGTGGTGCATATTCAGGTAACATAATAATATAAAGATGTTTAGGAAGGTAAATGTTCAGTAATGTTTATGATATTGCAGTGAGCTTCTTCTTCAGTTGACTGACAGACTGATGGCCTTTTACCGGCTGTTTGTTAGCGGCTGAATCATTTGTTACATGGACGGATTTCACCTAGGAAAGGAGTTAAGGTTAGGAAGAGCAAATGAAGGTACTAGGAGGTTATATGGGATTTAAACCAAGAACTCTTAATAATGAGAAGGTTTCTAAAGTTAGGATGTATAGTGTTATATAAATGGAAAAGTTAAGCAGTCATTAGGAGTCACTTAGTAGTTTTGGAAACCGTGAGAAGTTCCTTTATTCGCTCACAATAGCAGAACCATTGTTTATCTTTGTAACAATGTTTTAAATCCTTATTGCAAAATCTTTTAGGTAATTCTAATGCCTTTGATGACTTCATTTTTGTCATGAGTGAGCAGACATTTAAATGACACCTTCTCAGAATTAAGCTATTCTATGTATACTACTTATATTAACAGTTGACAGTAACTTGATGTAAAGAGAAAACCGATTTAGGGATTTATAGGTACTACTATCTATTCATGGATTTATTGTAAAGTATAACATATGGGTTGAATTAGTTATTGCATGTCGACTGCACGTGCTGAATTGCACTCGTAAAAATGAATTCCTAGATCTATGTAAGGATGACGGCTACTTCATGAGGCGTAGTTAAGTGTAGAAGAATGATGTATTTACCTCGTTGTTGGGCGGCGGCTGGCTGGGTTGCTGGGCGGCGCGCCGCTGTACGGAGGGCGAGCGTCGGTCGGCGGGCGCGGCGCCGGCCTCCATGTGCTGCTTGCGCTGCCGCAGGATGGTCCAGTCGAACGTGTAGTCGTACTGGTAGTTCATCGTCCGGAATAAGATGCGGAACAGCTGTGCGACAAAATGTTCAATTAGTATTGTTGTAGTAATCACGGGTCCAAACCTTTTCTTGGTCCACTTTTATCATTATTGTTAGATTAGGGACCACTATTACTATTCATGTGGTTCTACATAAAAAAAAAAACATTCACTCATATAAAAAGCCTTTTGTATTTTAAAAATCAGTTGCTCCTCTCAGTTATCTTCGTTGATACATTTTAATTTGAAGTTCAACTGCGTCGTATATTTGACAGAGTAGTATTATGTATTGTTTTAAATTCTCCAGACCATTTTTGTCTTCTGAAGACTGGTTGAGAACAATTGAAATAAATAAATGTGCTTTTTCCGTAACATAAAGTTGTAAAAGAAAGTAATTGCAAAGTTAACTAGTTTATTAAAGTCTTTAACTTTAATAAACTAGTTAACGTGAAATTGTGTTCTTTAAGGTGAAATTGTGGATACAGAATACAAATCTATATCAGCTGATTTGTCTAGTTAACAAAACTATCGTATCAAACGTTGTCACGATTAATAAGGGTAGTAGACAAGATCATAATAATGACTCACCTGTCTAAGATACATGTAATCGGGAGCCTCGTCAAAGGTCAATCCGCGGCAGTAATTTAAATACATTGCAAACTCAGCCGGGAATCCCTGTAAGGAAAACAAAATGCATATAAATATGGTACAATGACGTAACTTGTGGTAAATTATGAAATGAAAACATGGAACAATTTATCTGGTATATTATGGAAATATAATAATGATTCTTAAGTTACTTAAGATCGGCACAAGAAAATGTCTTCTCCTTTCTTATGAGATGTCATCCTATCACAAACAACTTTCTCTCATCACACTTTTACCCTTTGTAATCGAAATAGTTTTTCTATTTGATTATGAACGAATATCTACAAAACATTAGCTAAATTTCTGTCTCGTTAACGTAACAAACGAGTTTATGATTTCAATAAGCGACCTTCTTAGCGAGGTCGCAGGTTCAAATCCATTACTGCTCACGCGTAATCACGATGTCAGCTGTTACTGGGCTGGCTACGCTTATCCAATTACTGGATCCAAGGTATGATTTGTTGGATCAATCTAAGCCTGCCTACGCTAACCGAACACCTAGTTTGAAGAATAGTTATAATATAAAGCCAATAAAACTGTTTTTATAATAACTATCGTGAGACATACTAAATTAAGTAAAAACGCGGGTTACTCACGTGAATATACTGAGAAAAGCTCTACTAGTTTCGAACCACAGAGGGGTTCTTCCTCATGAGCAGCGTGCGCGGTCGCGGCGACGTCGCGCAGCTCACTGAGTGTGGTTCACCCCTCTGTGGTTCGAAACTAGTAGAGCTTTTCTCAGTATATTCACGTGAGTAACCCGCGTTTTTACTTAATCCAATAAAACTGATTTGTGAGGTATTTAAGAGAACAAATATTATGTGTAACTAAGACAAAATGTAATTATTGTGTATTTGTTGTATTACATACATACATTACTTCACGCCTATCTCCCATCCTACATACCTCTTTCGCTTCATCAACACTCATCAATTTTTTTATGCGTGCTAGTTGGTTAAGGGTACTTTTAATTTGGCCCTTCTTTAATATATCGCCAATTTGGTCAGTATATGTCCGTCTAGGACGCCCTCTACCGACGGCCTCATTCATATACGCTCTGTATACTTTTTTCGTTACTCTACTTTCATCCATCCTTTCTATATGTCCAAACCAACGTAAAATTCCCTTTTCAATCCTTGTCACTACATCATCTTATATTATGACGATCAAATAAGCAATAAACGATATAAATGTGTCTCATTTTTTTTTCACAATTTTATAGTAATAGCAATTAACTTCCCAACAATGAATTTGACAATTTTGTCTGTATCTCACCTTACAGAGCACCTCAACGGGCGTCGACATCTTTTTCTCGCTGATCCGCTCGTATTTCTGCTTTTTGGTGATCGCCTTCAGACCTTGCCATGGCAGCGAACCTCTGTTGTAAATAGAAAAATATCATTAACAAATATTCAGGGATTAAATGTGCTATTTGTTATTAATATATACGCATACTAGGAAATAATATTCGACGAAATCTAACACGAAATAGGTTATGTAGTGGCGAACTGACAATCCCATATAAAGAGTACTTATTTCCCGAAATATTAAAACTATCATAATAATAATGTTTCTCCACAAAATATCGCTGCAATTCCAAATAACCTATAGATTTAAATTCTAGTAACAATACAAAACCTTTAGTTTCAGACTTAACAACATCATTGGATAACTAACAGTAATCCAGTTCCAGTATCACCCAGACATTTCAAATTAACGGCCTTATTCCGTACAGAACGGGTTCCGTCCAAGTGTGAGTCACTTGCAACAAGTCGGGACATGCACAACGGATCAGACAGCCTCAAACCGGAATACGCTTACTTATAGGCAGGTATCGAGTTGTGCCAACGGTTTTACTGTTGTTTTTATATTTTTTATCTGGTATCACGTGAAACTGGGCGATTTCGATATTGCATGAGCAAAACTATGCTAGTTTGAAATTTTCGATTTGTATGATGGAATAGTTCGTACTTGCCATACGAATGTGTGCCACGTGCAATCATTCACGAAAATTTCGACTGCTACTGATGACTGTTGTAGAAGTCAAAATACCATAATTTTTCTAAGAAGCAACTAAACTATTCTGGCTAGTTTATTTCTGAAACACATAGAACATTTTACCATGCTCTTTCCACATGTTACAGATCCGTGTGATTCAAACGTGAATCACAATACAGAGAATCGATATCACTCTGATATTCCACAGGAGCTGTATACCGTGACGTCACTCCATTAACAAACCAAACACGCACCGCTTCGGTGAAAACAAATGTACCAGCTATCTCCCACACAAAAGTACTATAGAAATTTTCTCATATAAATAAATATTACGTGTACTTGTGTCTCGAAATAATGAGTCGAAAAATGGTAAATATAAATAGCCTACACCATATTTTAACAGTTACGACCATGCCATGACTAAATACAATTCATTAATTAAGATTGGTGAGCGAATTCCTACGATTTGCTTGTCTGTAAATATCAAAGCATTATTTGCAATGACAATATTCACGGTATCATTAATCCTGCTGTGAGATCTGTAGAAACTCTTGCAGAAATCATACAAGACATCTTGCTTGACAATGTGAGTACTATTGCAAAACTTCGGGTGTTTAGATTAGTGTAACTTACTGTAACTAATAAATAATAATTTGATGTTTCTGCCACTGTTAGTTAAGCTAAGAGAACCTAATTAGGCAGTGGCACTGTCTAAATAGGTCCAAATAGTCTGTCTAAATAGGTCTAAAAAAAATTAAGCTTGAAGGCTAAATCCACGCCTGTGACTTATGCAACTAGAGTCTACAAAAGCTGAAGATTTTTAAATATCATCTAGTGATATTGTCTGCTCATGACTTACCTGTTGAAATACATAAGTACGTATCCAAGCGACTCCATGTCGTCCCGCCGTGACTGCTCGATGCCGAGGTGGGCGTTTATAGAGGCGTACCGAGCCGTACCTGACACAAACAATACAACATTTACAAGATATTCGTCTAGTAAATCTTTTATTGTAAACGAATCTAGGGTTATATTATTAATTGGTGTTTAAAGAGTGTGATTATGTGTAAAATTCTAAATAATTACTGTGTCAAATAAGTACTTTTTAAATGGCTATGTTGTAAGTATGTAAATGTTTCCGTACTACATTATTAGGTACCTAATTCGTCGTATCTTCATCGTAGTTCAAAACTAAATAATGAAGTAGGAGGAGGAACAAAATGAACATAGGGAAAATTTAATGTTAAAATGTTACTGCACAAAATTGTAACAATTAAACATTTCTTGGTAACTTTATCTTTTGAACTGATAACAAAACAATATTTAGATTGATAAACGTATAGATTACGATATGATACTAATAATTCACACCAGAATTATTATCTCAACTACTACGTATTGTAGAAACTTGGTATTCTTGTTTTAGAAACAATCTTATGTGAGCGTGGAAATCAGTGTCAAGACAAAACTACAAGTAAGTAATAACAGTAAAGTGATACGCCAAGAATTAATTTTAATAAAAATATATTCATTAAATAAAATATATTCATTAATTCCGCCAAAACTACAAAATAAATACATTCTACGTCCGCATAACCGCATTAACTCCGCTTACCACAAAAACTAATTAATTATTTTAACTCCTTTGTTATTATTTGTTTTCCTCGTATAAAATATTATTTAAAAACAGCCTACACTTCAAGAAGTATTTTTTTATAAAACCATCGAAGTATAGTGTATTAGGAATACCCAAGCAACCGCAGTGACTCATTCTTGTTGTAACCTTTTGAACGCCAGAGTCAAACTTATGCGACAAAAAATCTCCAAAAGCTAACGTCACTAAAATATACGAACCAAAAGACATGAAAATGAGTCACTTCTTAAAACTAATCTTTGTAAATTCAAGCTACTATCTAAAAACGTAAGTAATCAAAAATACAGATAATTGGGTAGTTTCCAGGGTACCAAAATTAAAAATCTAATTAGTCCGTCAGTTAGATAATGAAAAAATATTAGACACGTGTTTTTTTATTTTCTCGTATTAAGTTGCAATACCTTGATAAAATGGCGCTAAGTTTAGGAGTTGAGGTTATTACGTCATAACGTACTACAAAATGTGACACGCTGTGACGTCACACGATATTTCTAATTAATATGTTGTCGAAAGTATTAAATTTTGTGAGAAAAGAAAAAATACGTGTCTAAAGTTTTAAATTAATTTGCCGACGGACATTAAAATAAAATTTAGGAAACTACCTTATTAAACTAAGTACTAATAGAACCTACCTATTATACTTAAACTAAAAAAGTCGCCAATTCATACTTGTGAGAGGTACGACGGCGATATCACCGATACGTATAAACTCAGTGACGTTCATAAGGTTAACAGTATTCAACACGGGAACGTAACGAACTAAGTTGGCCGGGATGCGCATTGTAAACTGGTTGTGAAGACTATACAAGTAAAGATAAAAGGGCTTTGACACGACTCAGTTACTGAAGCTCTTTATTAAGTCGCGTCGCGGTCTCGACAAGTGAAACTTTCTATAGAATATTTCTATGCAAGTTTGTGAACAATGTCAACGGAGCTAACGAGTATGTCTGTACTTAGCAGGGATGTTGTTGTGTTCTGTTACTGTATGATGTGATATGGGTGGAGTCTAATGGGACCTGTATGACCGGGGTTAACATCAAAAAATTTTTCTTTTAGTTCACAATTTTATTTCCCTAACCGGGACCGAAATGCACCTATTTCTCTCTCTGTATCTGCATGCAGTTTCATTCTATCATGTCATTATGTTTCAGGTATTAAATACTCACCAGTAAGGTTCTTATCCTCGCGGTATGAGATGTGCGTGCGTGTGCGCAGGTCTCGGAACTTCTTAGCGAGCCCGAAGTCGATCATGTAGAGTTTGTTGCAATGGCGGCCGATACCCATCAGGAAGTTGTCCGGTTTGATATCACGGTGGATGAAGCATTTGCAGTGGATGAACTCCACGCGGCCCAGCATTTGATCTGTGTACAACGAATATTGATAAAATTCCCTACTTTTCAAGTTCTGAAAATTATGGACACACGGAAACTATGAAATATTACCTTGATGATCCGATGTGTGCGTAAAAAAGAAGAGTAAAAGAAATGAGTAAAGAGAAAAGAGAGAGCAAAGAAAAGATATGAAAATTTTTATTACTTTATAAAATACCAAAAAAAAATGCATTCTGTCTAACAAATTAATAGAGAAAATAACTTTATATATTAAGAAAAACGAGTGACAGCCTGAAAATTCATATTATGTGGAAAGAAATCTGAGTGGGCATAGATTCAGACGATTTTGTATCTTACATGGGCTGCTATGGTAATCAAATAGTCAACATGCGACGATGTCATGTTCATATTGATGTTCGAAAAGGCTTTTTACACGTGTAACCTTCAACAACTACTTTTAGTAAGTAGAAATAACGATAACATACTAGTACATAAGTACACAAGACATTTTAACTTATACCTTTTTCAGTTTATGTCGCAAGAGTTGACGTAGAAGTAAGGTTTTTCTGTTTACACAAGTTATGATGTAGGCTTAGAGTAACCTACTCTACTATACTATGACCACTTTCCATTGGAATTTACTTATATTTTACTACCAAACCACTTCCATTTAAAAAACCTCAAAGAGTGCAATTGTAATAAGAAAGACTGACTGAACAAGGGTGACTTACCTGCACATTGACATATTATTCTTAATCTTAGATTGTTGTTAATTTTTCTTTGCTTAGAAATAGGTAGGACTTGGAAGTCGAGGATGAGATAAATCAAAGATACAGACCTGCCAGCATAAGAACAGTCTTGATGGTGAACTGGCGGGAGCAGAAGTTGAAAAGGTCCTCGAGTGATGGACCAAGGAGGTCCATCACCAAGATGTTGTGGTCCTTCTCGTAGCCGTACCATCTGTAACAATGGAGATCTTATATAAATAAAAGTTAACCACCGAACGGGTATGTAACCGGATAACTCTTGAACTACTCGAACAAAATGGATAATTCATTATTGTCAAAGGTGACAAATACACAAGGAACATCAAGAAATAGTACAAAGTTGTTTGATATTGAAATGTGCTGATATTAAATTAATGTAGTATAAAGTAGTATTGATATCATGTTTACTCTGAATGGTGATGAGTACAGAAGTCAAATCTAAGATAATGTTCGCGGTAAATAGTGCAAGAGTACTTTGTAACTTGTGTAATTATCTTTAGCAGAGTAAGTGAAGTATTGTATTTATCCTTAAGAACTTCGAATAATAATGAAAATACTAAGGTATAATTAAATGGCGGGAATTTCTTCGGAATCTGTGCTGTGCATACAGCTTAGTTGTGACAGACTGACAGATTTAGCTACATTAATAAACAAATTACATCGAAAACGTTAAAAAGTCCTTATGATATAAACTTACTTCGAATTTGTAAAAAAAAATTAAATACTTCTCCTTCAAAAAATTGAAATTCAAAATAATGCGACGTATGACGTGGGTTTTCTAGTAAAGCTTGAATGTAAATGAGATGTTGCACAGGGCGACACAAGGTTATCACTAAACGAAACGTATTCTAAACAAAACAGATTACATACAGAACACAATAGTGTTGTATTGACAATAGAAAAAAACGATCAAAGCACGATAAGGCGAAGGAACTAGCGTTGAGAGGCTATACTAAACCTGACAAATATCTTTAGATTCTCTTTTTAACTTTATTGGTATATCATAAGGCTAGAAATGTATTGAAGAAAAAAGTATGGTGATGTGCTGGTGTGTATACTAAAGGTTAGGTTTGTTATAAATTCGTACAACAAATAAACAAGTGTCCCACAAAATTATACTGTAGTCATCATAACTTTTAATTAGCAAATAAATCAAGCTGCGACCCGAATGGGCATCACATTCAAGGCTTCACCTCTAACTTTTCAAATTGCGTAAAAGGAAAGTCCCCTAAACGTGACGGGCAGGGCTTTGTCTGCAACGTGCCTATCGACGCAAGGTAGAAAGCTTTGCCTTACAACATTAGGGCGTTGGCTAAGAGGGCGCGAACCTTTTTGCCTTTTCTAGTAATCACATATTTTATGTTTTATATACTAAGCATATTCGACTTTTCCGATTTATCTATTAAGCTAAATATGGCAACCAACACAAATATAAACACAGAAAGCGTAGGTGGTGTCCTAGAAACAAACCAATACATAAAGAGCGTAACTTACACTCGCATTAATGAAGATAAAATGCTGTCATTAGAAAACCTAAAACCGGAACAATGACTGATATAAACTAAGTCGGTACCTCAGCTCTGTTGAAAGTAATCGGCCGACAATCAGATAAACGATGCTATCAAATTTTTCAATTTCTAATAAGGAAATCGTATAACCATTGAACTTGCAATATGTTACAAATATGCTTTTCCTAGAAATTGACAATGAAGGAAAAGATGTCTAGCGGTTATGAGAATAACTACTAAGATGATATGTGTGGGAGAGCCATGCTTCGGCACGAATGGGCCGGGTCGACCGGAGTGATACCACGGCCTCACAGAAAACCGACGTGAAGCAACGCTTGCGTTGTGTTTCGTCATGTGAGTGAGGTTACCCAATTACCGTCCCCTTCCCCAACCTCCCTAATTCCTGAATCCCCAACGATTCTCAAACTCCTAATCCCCAAAAGGCCGGTAACGCACTTGGAACGCCTCTGGTGTTCCTGGTTTACATGGGCGACGCCGATTGCTTACCATCAGGTGATCCGTCTGCTCGTTTACCGGCTTAAGACATAAAAAAAAGATGAGATTTGAACTTTATTTGAAGATTATTCTAGGATTTCTCAAAACTCCGTTTCTATTTATAATCAAAGCGTTGGAAGAACGTTACTTTGTAATGATAAAACAAACGCGCAGACGTAGACGTGCAGATATTCACGTGCAATTTGTAGGTGTGACGGTGTGCAGCGACGCGTAACCAACGTTTAGGCGGATGTAAAACTTTTCTCTGCAAACAATATAATGCTAGCCTGCCCAGGCTAGGCTTTGTTTGAAAGCAACAAATATATCTACGCAAAGAGAGAGAATCATTCGTTGTTTCCCTATTTTGTTCTATTCCTAAGTTTTATAGCAGACAGCCTGTGCCAATACACATGTCATGCGGTTGTTGATACAATAAAAACATTAGTCTATGAATACATTAAACGTTTACAATTATAAGGAAGTTCCTAAAACTAATAGAGGAAGCGGAAAACCTTCTAGTAACCGTACGCAAAGAAACCAAGTACGAATCTATTTAATTAAGTCAAACTAAACGACGATACTCTGAACTGAATATGTTTTAGTAAATGGTTTTATTGTAAAGTCGTTCAGATAGATGTTATGGGTCTATTTATACTGAAAAAGACGTTCACTATTAGACGAATGAAGCAGTCTACAGTCTGTTATCTAGAGATCGCAAGCGCGTCTAATTTAGAAATTCTCAGTAGTAACCGAGTACAGTTCTGCCAATGTATAAATCGCCTAATAAACTAACACGAGTTTGAAACAGCAAGAATAAACGATATAGTATCGTTACACGAATGTAATCAAAAGACTACATTCAAGACAGACAGCGCGGCAGCGTGTAGGCAGACCAAACCCGTTGTTACTCAAATCTGAGCACTAAAGTGAAGGTTATACGTCATGTCCTAACAAAATAATAGAATAATAACCACTTACACTACACTAACAATGATAAAATGACGTTGTACGTGAACTAACCTATTCATACGATGCAAACCTTGAGTTTGCGTTTAATTATGCGAAGATACAGTTAGAACTCGCCTTCAGAATGTCTTCTAGATTAATAGACTCGCATGAAATCACAACATTTTGATATAGCAAAAAAATTGTGTCAAGTTTGTAGTTGTACAATTGTTAGTAACGCTATGAATGTTTGTATTTTTTTTGTACCACTGTTTGATGCTTGCTTACTCGAGTATTCTTTAATTTTTTTATGTTACTTTATTGGTTTTAATCGTCCTCAAAAACAAAATTAGGCCGTTATTATAATCATAAACTGCTCCTTAAAAATACCATATTACACATCGTCCTTTGGCATAAAGCATAGTAGAAAAACTCGTAATTTTCGAGTTTCACCAATTACGAAACGATGTTTGAAGCTTTGTACCATTAGTAGGCCAATCGATGGACGCCCGCGCATCGATTCATCAGCAGACAACACTCATATATTTTAATCACCAATATGGCCTTAATGGCTGGTTCACAACATTATTTACACAAGTTTTTCATTCAAACAGGACGAGATATAGTAATTACTACGGTCGACAGACCTTAATTGCTTTGCGAGACAATATTCGTCACGTAGGAAGCAAGCTTTAAATAAATCGCAGCTGCTGATTGTAACTGATTTACTGTAATGACGCTACACTGCGTAACTTGGCTCGTTGTGTCTCTCAGGGCGTGTCTTCCATGTTGGCCACAACATAATACTGGTGGGCGATGGTCAAGCTTTATGTTTACAGTTACCGATAAATGTTAACACTATTAAAAAGGACTCTATGTCAACTAAAAGTTTATGCAAATGACTCGGCACGTTTACAAAGTGACTTTTTATATTCAAAAACGTCAAGGTAAACCGAACATCAAATGGGCTATGATTCATAGATCATTGGACCTCCCTCACGTCTCAAAAGGAATGATAAAATGTTAAATAGAACCTTCAGCTTCAGCACATCTATTTTGCAAACCAAACTAAAATAAGACTTTCAAAAAACAGAATGGTTGGCTACATAAATCGTATTTGCGTCTGCACGTAACACGAAATTGCAAGTTAGGTAACGCACTTTCTATGGCTTTAGTTATAAACAACGGTTATAACTGTTATATATCGAAATCTGATAAACCTTGTAACGATTTAACATTGGATTGAGGTCAGACTATTTGATTTGCGGCGAAGGTCCTAGCACGCGACTCAAGGACTCATTACTTGTCTTGGGGAATATTTAATAAGTTAAAAATTGACACTAATTGGGAGGATGGATCTGTGCCAAATTAAACCGATAAACAGGAGCGGAAAGACACGTTGATAGACGCTTGTTGATGCTTATAAGAGCAAAAATAGCCTGTTTATTCTGGTAAGGTATCGGGTATGTGTAGCAAAATGATATTATTGGTCCCAGTTACTTTTTTAGTCGATGCCTTTATACGGGTGCAGTTTTAGGTCAACCGGACGCTTTGGTCCCGTTTTCGACTTGCATATGTATTGTACAGTTCGAAAACATCACACTATATCACGAGGACTGCGTACTTACAAACACACACAGTGAACGAATAAACTGATTTCAGTAAAAACCGCTATAAAACGCATACGTCGACGGTAAAAATGCTCATTTTGGCTTAGTAACAAACTAGAATTTGATACACCGGAGTACAGTTGTGACAATCGCGTTGCGGTTCGCCGCGTCCTGCTGACGTTTTAAATATTCGGAAGCTAGATAGATAGGTAGAGTAACCGCGGCAACTTATTTACTAGAAAACGCATCGTGGGCAACATTTCAATATAATCTAAGAATTTTGTTTATTATTTCAATATAACACGTGACACTATCTAACCGAAAGCAGGACAGTTCAATGCTAAGCAGATAATGAACACGTTTTCGTGTGACATTTCCAGTTTTTTGGAAGATATACGTGTTTACCACGACAAATACTTACCTTATGTGTGGTATGCCGATGCCCCCTTGGAGCATCTTATACACTCTGCTCTCATAGAGAAGTTGCGGGTGCCGCGCTTTTATAGATTCAACCTTCACTGCTACCTCCTGCAACAAAGTAAAATAGTTTAAGCCTCATCATAACTAAGACTTATTTCTCCCTCCTGGTCTTTTTCAGACCAAAGAGTCTACATGAAGCGACTGCTATTTTCTCTCCACAACCCACAAAATCTAACCTAATTCTTGATTGAATTCATTGCCAGACTTTTCGAACTTCTGACTAGCCGTAACAAGATGTGAACGCCTTGATATGCTCACCGAAACAACCTCATCGAAAAAGAAAATACGAGTACAAAGATCATCAAAAGAACATAAAGGACTCGTCAAATCCCTGCATATATATAAGCATCTGTGCCAATTTAATTGCACATCTGTATTGTAAGTTTGTGTGTAGCTGCACTGCAAGGAACTTGAGTTTAAATGATCAAACCAATTACGGACCTAAGTAGGGCGCACGTGATGATGTAATGAATGATATATTGTCAGTTGTTATACAATGTTGGAGAAGCTTGCTATATTCTCACATGGGACTGACAGAATACCTGCCTATTGTCCAACAGTGAGAGTTTCATGCCTAGAAAGCGCGAATATTGATGGACAGGCTAGTTACTTGGCTTTTTGGCAATTTTGAAAACATATAAGTGAGAAACTATTAGAGGACAAAAAGTAATTGTTGAAATAGAATTTACTTTTATTAGCTGACTTGTAAGCCTTATACAGCACATTCTTCAAAATCGACTATGCACGTAAATGCAACTGGCGCATCTGGACCGCTTATTGAGGGTAAGCATCGTATATTCGAACACAAAACGCATGAATGAGACCTCTCGGTTTCCTAGCTTCCCATGGGAGTAACAACAAAGGGTTACTTATCGGAACAACCCTATGGACGCTAATAATATCTTACGATCACGGTCGCTAGGGGCAACAGATGTTTACCATGAGATTGACGTGATTATTTAACCTAAGTAGCTAATAACGACTGTATTGTCGACATTAGTTATCTCATAAGTAACTACATAGCTAATTTTGACACGTATACTAATCATTTTACGATCAGATATTGCTTTTGAAAGCATTTATTTAATTTTGATAGAATTTCATAAAATTATAACCATTTAAATTTCATTTTACATACTGAACAAACTGTAAGGTCATCATCACACATGTCTCCAAATTGCCCATTTGGGCAAAGTAACCACCTGGCAGGACAAACTTACATTCCTCAATTGACATCTGTGTTTTATCCTTGCAATATCGTCCTAATAACTAAATTCTTTACGAAAATGTATTGAGTAGACCATATTATCACATAATGTAAGTAATAAAGACAACAGATCAAAATAACATTTTTGCACTTATAGAAAAATATATTTGCAGCTTTTATGTAAATATCAAGTCAAGTCAAATATCAAGTTGAGTCATAGACAAAACCACAAATAATTAAATTTAATTTAATTATGTGGTCAATGGTTAGAACAGATTTAACATTAACTCGTCGAGTACCGGTTTTGTATACACAATTATAGAACAATAGGTTGCGGTCACCGGTGACCGCTTGGTGTTTGACAGTTTAAACCGTCATAAATCCAATAATTAAAAGCTTACTTATAACACACATTTTCTAATCTGTACCTATGTTGAAAAATCATGTATTTTTATGGCACTCATTACTTCTTGACAAAGGAAATGCCACAAAATAGGACATTTTGGTAATTAAAAGACAATACACTACCAGATAACTTAGATATTGAGATGGTAGGGTGATATAATCAGATGAAGAGAGGACAAATTGTTTGTGTGTTATAATAAACTTGTCTTGTTATTTGTTCATACATGACATAAATAGGTCAAAATAGTGTAGCACACATACTATGCCTTTATTTACATCTATACCTCACCTAAGATTTCAATAACTTATTAGTTTAAATTTTAGTCTTTGGAACTCAGTGTCATAGCATCAAAGAGATAATTTTCAAAAACAAGCATAAATAATGATTAATAGTAAACAAACAGACAAAAACAAAACAAAGTAATCTAGAACAAAAACAATATTACACCCACAAACAAAACACAAAATCCTGTTCAAAAACCAGATCAATAATTTTATCATTGCAATGACAACAGATAAAAAATATTTATCTTTAGTCATTGGATTAAAAAGTTTGAATTTCCATACAAATAAACTTATGTCTATGCCTAAAATTCATCTTTATTTTTGCTAATGTTTTTAAAATAGTTATGTATGTGATATAATGATAACATGTAAGGTACTGTTGTTTTGTTAAAATAAGGTCATGATAGCAACTTCGTATTCTAGAAATTGAAACTATATTAAATTTAATAACTAATTGTGATATTTAAGAGACCAAGACAGTCTTGCAGACTGAGTTGAATTAATATGATGTATTCATTTGATTTTCAATATCTAATCAATTCCCTTTCAAAAATATACTAGTTTGGTTTAGAAAATAATAAAATTAGCATGTATTAGATTAACTACCACAGTCAAAATTCAACATTTTAACCTGTGTATTATATCTACATTAGAACAAGACATAAAATCAAGGAAAATACAAATTTTACTTGTCTCAATATTTACATCAAACCATATTTTTATGTGACAGGCAGAAGTGAGATTTGTACTCTATAACAGGCCAGTTTTATTATTGTTTAGAACATTGACACAAAACACAACTATTGTAAATGATATGTGTATAAGCTCATGCCATTCGCATGTATCCAGCTATGCAATAGAACTTTTACACAATAGGTTTATCACATAACTGTATGATCAAACATGTATATAGAAATATCTTTGAGTAAAGCAGGTTATTGATTATGAGTGTTGATATTCATATTGACATTTAATTTTAAAATGGGAATGTGTGTAGAACCATGGCTGGTCTTGTCTTGTCCATGATGAGTCATATGAGACCCTAAACATTAGGAGAATGATCACATGGAGATATTCAAGTATTTTAGCTTCAATTGCAAATTGTATGAGTGTATAGTGCATGTTATCGTATTTTTAGTAATGATCTACACAAATCATCAAATAAAGTTCATATTTTTTGTCTACCAGCTGGTTCTCAAAAAGTGATTTTTACGTTTGAACTAACGATTGTGGAGTCATCAGTGAAATTGCACAATTTGAGAGACATATTCGGATCCATTGTTACAGTGGAATATTGCAAAACATGAGTTGTGTTACAGCAAAAGCAACGAATTAGCATAGAGCTAAAATACCACAAGATCATACAATAGAGCTCACATGCTTTATGTATTTTTCAAACTGTCCCAAATACATAAAACATCGAATGTCAATGGAATATACAGAAGCCTGTACAAAAATTCAAAATTATCTTTATTACTGCAGCGATTATGATCAAATATACGCCCAGACCGCCATTTTCAAGAACAAAAACCCCGAAATACACGGCCGTCTTGACACAAGAAATCGTTCGTAAGAAAATGTCATATGAAAAATCTAAATTACAAGTGTTATTTACCTCTCCATCGTTCACATTTATTCCTAGAAAGATATCTCCGAAGCTGCCGCCGCCGATTTTGCGAACAACGTTGTATCTATCATTTATAATTAAATGATTCCTGCTTAACAATATGCGTTCAAAGGTAGCCATTTTCTTTTTCCTTCATCACTCGTTGTCACTAAAATTATTGGTGGCCCATCGCACCGAGTGAAATTTTTACACAACACTTAGTTAATTTATAGTTTATAATTGTTCAAAAACACTACAAATCGTACAAACACTACGAAAAACCACTGAAAATAATTTTATTACGAAATCTAAAAAGATTTCGTCAGCCTATTTCATGTGACGTCACAATGGCAGTGTTGCCAGGTCTCACACCGACTCAAAACTACCACAATCGAACGCGCTAATGTTGCCACTGCATTCGTTTTATTTTTCTTGGTAGTTTTATATTACTACAGGAAAAATATTATAATGGATTAGCAAATAGATTACGATACGAGTATCTATACTATAAAGAAATTGATTTAAATAAATATTTATATAATCGTGAGTCAACTGGTGACAGATAATTAAATTAATTTTTTCATCTTTTTCCACTCAATCTTTTTCCAAGCAAGGAATTATATATTAATTCTTTGAAAAACCATGAATCAACTACTCATTCATTAGCATTAATTTGGACATTCTAAATAAGTCCTATTTTAGAAAGTGATCTATAAAATCACATTATACACTGTTTATGCGAATGAAAAAGAGATAAGGTGAGATATCAGCAACATGATAAGTTTATTTAGATAGACTTGCTGTTACTGATATAAGCTAACATTATTATTTTAAAGGTGTAAATATTTTAGTTTTTAGTTATTTGTATTTATAATATTAATATTACTTAATTCTTATTATTATTTCAGTATATTTATTACATTACAGATTAAACTTAAAATCATCAACTCACTGCTGATATTTTGTAAAGTTTTGCCAAACTGTTTTACTTGATATGTTTCAACCTTTACATGGTAAATTAAAAGAGACTATTGAAGAAGACAAGACAGGAAATGACAAAAATTTTCATTTTTTCAAGTGCAGAGATGAAAATTTGTACCAAAAAGGCTCAGCATTTTTTTTTTCAATTTGAATAATGTGGCTGTTTTTTGGTTTATAAGAAGACTTGGGAATCCGAGAATATTGATGATAGCTATAAGAACTATTTAACATTATGACCAAGATAATAGAATGGAACCATATACTGTTCCTCTTTATGAAAATAATAATATACTTAACTACAGTTACTGCAATTAATAAGTACCTTTTCCTGTTCATAAACTAGTTGGTTTAGTTTGAATTATGTGTAAATAGTAAATGAATCATATATTATTTGTGTGGGGCTTTTTGTATTTTGTGTAGGTTTTCTAAGCTAGTAAAAGATAAGGAAACATGGTTTTAGTTTTTCATGTTTAGCGCTTTTGTATTATAGGAAGTAATTGTTCATTTTCTTTAGTGATGAAGTTAATTCAAAGCAGATATGAATTTTGATGACAAACAACATTTAAAAAGCTATTGGAAGAAAGAAATGGGAGAACAGAACATAATATGAGAGGGTGCTTAGGTGCTCTAAATTGACAGCCTTATGTGTTACCTTTTAAAAATACTACTATGAGAATTACACATTTGTTGAGGTAAATTTGAAGATTCTTTTGCAGTATTTACTGTGAACTTAAATATGTACAAAAATATTCTTATACCTACCCCAACAAAATACAAGAAATTACCCGAATTACACATAATATTTATTAATTTCCTTGAAACAAAAAAAAAACTAAATCCAATATAAATACATTGTGAGGATGTTGCTTCCACAGATAAAAAGTATTGATTCATGTGATCATTGCACTTAACCCATAAATTACCAAGCGGTCACCGGTGACCGCTTTCCACTAATATTACATTACATTATAGACCTTATTTGTAATGTTTAGAGACTACTTTTGTATGACCAAATTTAGGGGGTGGATTTCAACGGGTTAAGGAATATAATTTGATCATTATTTAAAAAAAGAAAGAAGAAAGAAAAACAATAACAAATTACAGAATTTAAAAAAATATAAAGTATTTTATTGCTATACTAGACTAGACAGTGACCTAATAGTCTAGTTTTATCCAAGGTCACAATAACAGCTATTTTTGTTTTAGCCTCAGAATAAATTTAATTTCTTTGCGAGTTTTATGCAATTTTTCTACTCACAGCTTAGCAAAGAGGTGGAATAAAGGTATTTTAGTCCCTTACAATGACATCAAATGGTACCAAGGCCATGTAAATATGAACAACAGTCTACACATTACAATTTTGGTTGGTATTTCGTGTAAAATCTAAACAAACCCTACATAGTCTACAGTAGCAGGTCATCTCTGAACAATAAAAAAGGTGAAAGCTAAAAGATGCGATTTATGATCAAATGGTAGAAAATGTAAATTCCTGCAAGTGAGAACACTATTTTAAGAAAATGGATGTGCAAGTAACATATAAGCTGAAATTTCGGGCTAGATTAGTCATACAATCTCCATCGACCCTGGAAATATCATATCAATGTCCAATCTTCATTTCCCTATTTAGTACGTCACAGAAAATAATCAACATGCACCCCCTCTCCCCGCCATAGTGTGCCATCGATGACGCGTGAGCCTTCACAATCTTACGAAAGCTAAACATGGAATGCTAATCATACAAAATACATGTAGTAAATCACGTTACCTCGCCATTCGCGGTGTTGATCGCTAAATAAATATCACCAAAAGATCCTCCGCCGATTTTTTTCAACACCTTATATTTTCCATTAATCAATATTTCCTTCCGTGAACTCATAAAATTCGACATGGTTGCAGATTATTAATAATCGTCCCGGTAATTGTAAAATATAACTCGAAAGCACAAATTACGCACTTTTAGAATAAAAACAATAATAAATTCACGGCTACATTTTACGAAACTGTGACTGAATGCCTGAATGGAGGACGTAATGCGTTCAAAAAGTAGGCCACGCGTATATTTCAGTACTTTCTTTCGATTAGAATTTTAAAAAATATTTGTGTCTCAAAGGTTTCTCAAATAACACAACAAATATTTTTAAAATTAGTGTGTATCTTTTGAAGTGAAAATATGCGTTTGATACTTATTTATCGTCTTTTCTATTTTTAAATATAATAAAAATCAATAAAATATAGAGCAAGGAGGTAACATCATCTAGTTTCTAAACGCAGCCATGCCATTACATGTAATGTTGCCAGTTTTTAAATATAAGTATTTTTACCATTTGGTAGGAATGTAGAAATGCTATGCAAAAAGATGATATTTAAAGATAAACGATCTACACAATTTAACGAGTTAAAATATATTTTGAAATATGTATAATTTATATACTACGAATAATATGATATATCTATCCCATAGCACAGTGTGAAATATAAATAATACATAAATATAATAAAAGTAATTAAAATAGAGTTTATTTTGTAATATACCTCCATAATTGAGTAACCTGCTTTTTTTTTAGTTTAATATTATAATTAGTTTGATCTAATTAGCTACAAAATAATTTATTAATAGTACTACTCAATTACTCATATCCTGTTAGACATGTGGAGCAAGCATTTAAATAATGTTAGTTTTGTGACAAAACTTCAAGCACTTTAACATGTTTTGTTATCACTGAAATACTGTAGATACTGAGTCATAAGTACGAACAGGATGATTAGAAATATCTTCCATCTAAGAAACCTGATTAGTACCACATTAAGACTTCTATATGACTGATAAATAAAATAACATGCCAAATCATTATAAAAGTGTGTAAATGAAATAGTAATAGAAATTGGTTAAGGATTTACTTTTATGTGAATTGTTATTTCTGGTTAATATATATTTAATCATTAAATGCTAAAAAGATATGAACTCATGTACCATCGAGGTGTAAACAATGATTGTATTGTTTTTACACAATTTATATTTTTTTATTTTCGTGGATATCACTCAGAAAGTCTTCCTTTTCAATAGTTTAGAAACAATTTGGAATTATAATCTAGCTGTAATCGTGTACCTATCTGTATGTGTACATGTAGAAAAGTTTCAAACCTAAAAACTTTTTCTTTGAGGCTGAATAGAATGTTCACAACAGACAGAGGCTAGTAGCGGCTCGAATTCACTGCCACGGTCGTCTGGCCTAACAATGAGCGACACCTTCGTGATGTAACTAAGAATAAATTGATAATAGAGCTATCGAAACGTATCTAGGTTAACATTCAGATGCCCTTTGCATACCAATACTTTTACTGCAAGTTAAACCGCTTGAACACCTCAAAACCACTTGTAACTCAAAGTACATGCAGCGTACCTAAGAGTAGTTGATAATATATCAAAAAACAACCACTTACCTCGCCATTTGAAATGTTTATTCCTAAATAAATATCTCCAAATGATCCACCACCTATTCTTCTGATTATTCTATATTTTCCCGAAATTAATAACTCTTTTCTAAAAGTTAGCGCATGTTCAAACGAATTCATTGTCGGTTTGAGTTCGTTAGTTTAAATAAAATAGTAAATTTTGTAACAAATTAACACAAAAATACTTCAAATAAACACTTCGACACGCTAACAGCTGTGGTCGGTGTTACCAATTAATTGAAAGATTCAAAAGACGTATTATGACATTTGATAACAATGTTACTAAATGAAATAATGATGGAACTCATTAAAAATTAATAACTCGATTTACTAATTATAGATAGCTATCGAAAGAATATACTTAAATCAAGATAAATAATGTTATTTAAACAAATATTATAATGGCACTGGCCAAAGCAACAAAATAACACAAGCTAGTCCAAATATGCTTCTTCTACTCTTCTACAATTTGAAAATGTTTTTCGACATTCGGAGCAATAATCATGTATTCCTTCATTATAAGCCATTCCAAAACCTAGACGGTATATAAAGTCAACAAACAATAAAATAAAGAAGTTGATTGAGTAGGCTCGTGATAAATTAGCTACCTGTATCATCATCACTCTATATAGAGTACTATAGATATAGGATACTCTACTCCTGGATCACATGTGAACGTCAATGTAGATTTACTTAATCCGGAGCTGCGGACAACTGGGTTACCGACTTACCGGGGCTCCGGTTCAAAGCAAGAGCAAGAGCAGGAATAGGGTGGTTTTTATTCAGTAAGTCTCACACTCCCTCTCGCCTTACACATGTCATTGGAGATTAAAATAAAAAAATAAAATAAAAAGGGCTTATCTTGATATTTGGTTTTTATAGCGCTCAATCATCAGTTGCCCGTCGTTATAATGATCAATAGACCGTGACAGTCATGCTGGACTTTCGGACTCTTCTTCAAAAGACAGAGAGGGGGTTGCCAAAACCTACCTACAACCCGGCAGGCGGGTTGGAGATCAGTTAATACAATTAGGTTTGTCAAAGAACGCTTCTTTCCGCCTTCTGATATTGTATAATCGGCATGGCCTTAACTAGCGAGAAGAATTGGGGGGTAGGTGATTAATATTTATGTACTTTACCGTCACCACACCGGTTTAGAATCCACAATGTTGTTTAAATGACTATGTATGAACCATGTTACGTTTATGTGTGTGTGGGAGAGCCATAGATACAATATTTTTAAATATTTCTGTAATGTTCATACAGAAGGCGAACTCAAGTTTGGAGTAGGCCGCCCACGCTAATCTTATACGCCTATCAACTTCGTTGGCTTGGTTGTCCTTTCCCATTACCACTTCTTGTCCCAGATACACATATTTAGTTACTCTCTCAATAACGGCGTCATTTACTTTAAAGGATGTGGTGGTGTTGGAACAGTTGGTCATGACTTTGGTTTTATCCAGATTCATTTCCAAACCGCACCGTGCCGAGGCATTACTAAGTTCCTGTATCATGGTTTCAAGGTCAATCGGGTTGCCTGCGAACAGTACGATGTCGTCAGCAAATCTAAGGTTATTCAGTGTTATGCCCTCGATGTTGATGCCGCAATTTCTCCAGTGTAGCATTTTAAAGACATCCTCTAGCACCAATGTGAAGAGTTTTGGAGAGAGGGTATCCCCCTGTCTTACTCCTCTCTGTATCTCCACTGGTTTGGTCTCCGGAGGTAAATTTACCTTTAAGGTGGCGTTCTGATATATATTTTTCACTAGGTTTGTGTAGCGGTGATCTATTCTAGCATTTTGCATAGACTGAATTACTGCCCAGGATTCGATGCTGTCAAAAGCCTTTTTGTAGTCAATGCAAGCCACAGGGGCATCTGGTATTCATTGTTAGTATGTGGTCCATGGTACTGGACCCCCTCCTGAATCCGGCTTGTTCTACTGGCTGGTAGAAGTAGAATTTTTTGGTCAAACGAATAGTGATAATTTTGGTAAACAATTTGTACAGCTGTGATAATAGGCTGATGGAGCGGTAGTTATTGAGGTCAACTTTGCTTCCCTTTTTAAATACTAAGATAACTATGGCACTTTCCCATGTTTCCGGTATTCGGCTCTCCTCCAAGCACTTATTAAAGAGTTTTTCTATGACTTCAATAACCCCTTTCCCCCTTCCTTGACCATTTCTATGATGATATCGTCTTCACCAGGGGCTTTGCCGTTTGACATCCTACGTAGTGCAGCGCTTATCTCGGTCTTTGTTATCTCCGGTACATCTTCAGATCCAACGTTTACAATTTTGCGATTTTCCCAGCTAGCGGTTTAGGACCGCAAAAGAAACCAGTGGCTAAGACAGAAGAGTAAAATCAAGGACGTCACACAGCATATCGCGAAACTTAAGTGGGAGTGGGCTGGCCACATTGCACGCAAACAGGGTTCGTGGTGCAAAGCCGTGATAGAGTGGAGACCGTGGGGCGAAAAACGCCCACAAGGAAGACCCCAGATGCGTTGGTACGATGACATCAAACGAACAGCTCTGGCACGAAATGGATAGAAATTGCTCAAGACCGAAAGAGATGGCAGACACCGAAGGAGGCCTACACCCTAAGGGTAGAAAAAGGCTAAAGAAGAAGAAGAAGAATATTTCTGTGGGAGAGCCATTTTTCGGCGCGAATGGGCTAGCTTGACCGGTCAAGCATCGGTTTTCTGTAAGGCTGTGGTAGGACTCCGGACTCCGGACTCCGGAGGCCTTACAGAAAACCGATGTGAAACAACGCTTGCGTTGATTTTCGTGGTGTGAGTGAGGTTACCGAAAGCCTAGTTATCCTCCCCCCTACCAAATCCCTGAATCCCCAACAATCCTCAATTTCCTAATCCGTAAAAGCCCGGTAACCCACATGTAGCACCTCTGGTGTACCGGGTGTCCATGGGCGGCGCCGATTGCTTACCATCAGGTGATCCGTCTGCTCATTGCTCATTTACCGGTTTATCCATAATAAAAACCTGAACATGAGCCCTGTTCGTGGTTTGAAATCAATCGAGAACTCACGAACGGTTCCGTAAATTGTTTCTTTATCATTTTGATATCGCAAGTATTGTTAGTTTTAGATTTTTAGAGCTATTACTATTACCACAGAACATATAACTTTATATGTTCTGTGACTATTACATTAAGAAAATAGAAAGGAAATAGAATGTTAAATCATAACACGTCACTTCTAATGAACTTTTTATTTATTTCAGTAACATACAATATCAGCGTTGTATACTATAAAATGACTTATGCACGAAAATAGTAACACTTAAAATATAAATATGTCCAAACGGATCTTATCTTCAAAACTAACAAAAAAAGTTTTACTCGGAGATATAGCGCCAACAATTTGAGCTGTTGAAAATAAAACGCAACTGATTTTTTCTTTTTAATATTTTTTTTTTATATTTTATTAGATGGGATTGACGTTTGACTATAAAATACCATTGATATATTTTATTCACGTTTCGCTTTTTCGCTTGTTGGCATTATATATACGAGTAAAATTCTTTCTTTACCTACTTACTTTTTGTTTGCAATGCGCATGTATATTTTGATTTTGTTCACCATAACTCTAAAATAGTTCATTAACATGATTTTGTATAACATTTATGTAGGCTGTGTTTTTCTAGCAATCTAATACACGAAATGACCCTAAGATTAACCGCATCCAACTTTTTTTTTTAAAACAATCAGTATTTTGTTCCTAACTTCAAGTAGTAATAGACTACTATTTAATTTTATTTCCGTGTTCAAATACAAGATAGCTTGATTATTTCTATTCCCACTACGTAAGAGTCAAATTGGAAAGTCGAATTTAAATTTTAGTGTAGGGTTCCGTCAGTAAGTATTTAACTTCGTCAAGTTATTATTAACACCAAAATTGGGTTAATAAATTCAACAACAATGTTAAAAATATACAAACTGTTGACACAATCATGCAAATCCACAGATAAAAAATATCATCATTACAAAATATAATATTCTGGGGTTGGGCTTATTATAAAATTATTTAAAACTCTCAAGTATTGTCTTTGAATAAAAATAATTTATTGTAAAGAACAAAAGGACTTACAAACTTAGAGATAACAAAAAAAAATATAAGATTTTACAACAAATACGATATAGAAAAAGAATACTTGTTTACAGTTAAAATAATTATAAAATAAAATCTTATGAATATTATAGTTTACCGAATATAAGATGAATAACCTACGTAAAATTGATAAATATGCTTATTATAGGGTTTGTTTCACCACTCCTTCAAAAGTTCTCAATAAGTTTTAACTGCAAGATAGTCATGTCATGTTCCATTTTCAAATGGCAATAGGAACACTATTTTAAGATTTTTTTAGGTTGGTAACTCAGTCATAGGCCCTTTAGAGGATATGCAAGCTTGATCTCTTCATGAAAAAATCTAGTTTCTTGAACATTGCTTGCTTTTGAAAATATCTTACAAATAAAACAGATAGAATGTACTAGTATAAGAACCCTCTAACCTTCACAAGATACCATTTGATCAATCTTAACATTTAGTTTTGTAAAACTCGAAACATGATCTAGTGATTTCTTTAAAAATACCACTTTTCTACTTATTACACACTACGGAACCCTATTGTGCATAGTCACACAATTGTCCAAACGTTATATTACTCATTTAACATTATATTACAGCGATTGCTTTACTACACAAAAGCAATATAGAAAAAGAATATATGTAGAAGAATATTGCGTTAAAATCTGTACTCCTTAGTGCTCCTTATTTCGCTTTTATAACAATATTATTACTTAAAACAATAATAGTAATATTGAAAAAGCGTTAAAACTTAATAACTAATTTGCAACAACGCAATAATTTGATTTAAATATCTTGTAAACTCGATTCGAGTCGCAAATAGGAAAGCAATCACAGTAACATAACATAGATGTTCCTAGAAAGCCAAGAATCCATACATAGACAAGTTAAAAACCTACATCCACTCAAATGTCCGCCATTTGCAAAACATTTTTTTTTAATATTTTTATTAAGGTGAAGGCATGCACTTGAGGCGCTCAAATGCGGCCTTTTCTAAAGCTTCGCGATGATCGGGGTGGGCGATCTTGATCAGTTCGTATGCTCTCTGCCTGAGAGACTTGCCGAACAAGTCTGCGATACCTTGTTCAGTGACGACATAGTGTACGTGGGCACGGCTCGTTACTACTCCAGCACCTGGAATTTAAAAAAAAAAACTAGTTATAGACAGGCATATAAGATTCACTTTGTTCTACCTACGGATTCAACTGAAAACATCGTTCCCTTTTATCAGGCGCGCATACGTCAAACTTGTTGCTGTTACAGCAAAAATTGAAACAATATTCATTTTCATGAGTAGGATGATCATTGTATTCTATCTGTCATTTATCCACTCGGCATTATAAATCACACGAATCACTGAGAGTTTGTAAAAATACTGGTTAAACTTGGATTTTAAAGTAATTATCTAACTTTGACTGCCTCGTTGGCCGAGCTGTCGCAAGTGCGACTGACGAGCAGAAGGTGTCTCGGGTTCGATTCCCGGGTCGGCCAAAGTACTACTGGGTTTTAAACATTTTCAGTAGTAGCTCGGAGTCTGGAAATGTGCCCGGTATATGGCAATAGGCTCACCCCCTATTACATGGGACTCACAACATAAATAGTGAAAACTGGGTGTTAACTGTGTGCACCTCTGCCTACCCCTTTGGGGCTATTTGAACACAAAATTAAAGAATTTTCTTTCTTATACTGACCAACTTTGAGTGTAGGCACAATCTTGGACTCTCCCTTCTTAGTGACTGACACGAGAGCAATGATGGGCTTGCCCTTTCCGTCCACGGACTCCGCTGCACCGCGGATGAAGTCCACCTGACCACCGAAACCGGAGAACATGCGTGTACCTGAGGGAAAGACAGAAACATTTTGTTTTCAACAATTATTTATACTGCTAGCTTCGGTTTTTGCCGGCTGGTTTGCTCTCGTTACCAGATTATTAATAGCTTACGTCACGTAATTGATCAGACTATAATCTATCTAGAGAGATAGTATAGAAGACAAAAATAATTATTTTATAAATAACTATGTTTAAAAACTGAGCCTTTTTAAGTCGGTTATTTAATATACTAGAACCTTTTCCTAAGTGTAATAAATATTTTTCTGAAAACCCGCATCAAATTCGTTCAGCCTTTTGCGAGATAAGCGCGCACATATATACATAAATACACATCAAACTGAGAATCTCCTCTTCTTTTTTAAGTCGGTTCAAAATGTATTTGTTTAGCATCATATCATAAAACAGAATAAACTAAAATTTAAAAGATAAAAATGTTAGTGCCCTAGGATATTGGGCAAATGTGGGCAAGACTATTATAATATCAAATGCAAGTTTATTTTAACAAATTAACGCCTCATAATTTGTCTGAGGTTTCGAGAAATTATAGCATATTTTTGTAGAAGTTTTAAAATGAAATATATTTATGTAATAGTAAGTAGCATAAGTACCAACTTATGTATAAAAAGAACCACCTCCTGCTAATAAATTTTATATGAATATCTCACCGATGGAGTCAGCGCACACTTGTCCAGTCAGGTCGACTTCAATGCAGGAGTTGATGGCCGTCATCTTGGGCAGCAGTGAAATGATGTGCGTGTTGTTCACGTAGTCGATCTCCAACATTTCTATAAATATACAAACATATTAATAAGAAAATAGTCCTCAATCTGCAAACACGTGAAAGGGAAACCAAAAATCATAGATTTCCTTTTAGAAAAGAAAATATTATGAGGTTTGATGCCATAATTATGTGGCATCAGTCATGTCTTAGAATGGGACCTTTGTACGGTAGTGGACGTCTTTCAGCTCATAAATACTAACCAATGAAGGGGTTGTTGTCAACGAAGTCGTACAATTCCTTGTTACCAACGAGGAAACTGCCCACCATGCGGCCTCTATGAGTCTTTTTCCTAGAAAACAACAATTGAACATTAAAAAAACAATAGAAGATTAAAGATCAACAAGCTACGTTAATAGTCTGAGCCTTAGATCGACCTTTCGTAATAGGAAGACTGAAATTGACATTTAACAATAAACAAAATAAAAAATTGTAGGGGTTGTGAGTCCCTACTGTTTTCTTTGTTAGTTTATGTTGAATGTTGTTTATATTAAATGAGTAGACGACCGATCTCTTAGATGGTTTTATTGCTATTTAATTGAATTAATTAATAAGTTTACAATGTTCAGTTGATCATGGTTATTTAATTATTAGTATATATGATGACAAAAGTCAATGTACAGCGTAGCTTGTACAAAATAAGATTAAAAGTGTCTTGTGTTTTTGTAGGTCTTTCCCCAAGGAAGCTACTCGCTCATTCTAAAGTGTAGATTCTCAAGCAGAAGATCGAGAACTTAATTATCTTCTTCTTTATCTGAATGTAAACTTACTTGTTGTTAGTGATGCAGCCGCGCCTGACGAGGTCGATGACTCCGACGCTGAACATCTCAGAGTGGATACCGAGATCCTTGTGGTCCTTCAGAGCAGACAGCACTGCGTCGGGAATGCTTCCGATACCTAACAGATGTTTTTCATATTCATTTAAAGTTCAGAACAGCTTCTACTCCGCGTATTGGAGAATATGGGAGAATTACTTAGATCATAAACACTTTCAGAATCAATCAAATGGTGGTACTAGTGTAAAAGTTTAAAGAACTACAAAGCGGTAATGTAACTAAATTAATTAACATTTTACTTCTTGACATCATTGATGAAAAATACATTTTTTTTATTCCATTGTCCAAATAACCTAAGTAAATACTTATAACTCGGAAAAATTTACATTGGTTGCCGGTGGTAGGTTTTGAACCCGTATATAAGAAGCCGGCGGTCTTGAACCTCCGGCCCACTACGACAACAATGGACCGTAAGCCTCAATAGAAGCCTCCTACCAATAGAAAAAAGGAAAAACATATTTTCTAGAAAATCGAGCTACTTGGCGGTATTTCCGAACCAATACGACCTTCAAACCGTCAAGAAAATAGCGTATTCCTTTTTAAAAGACCGGCAACGCATCTGTGACTCCTCTGGTGCTGCGGGTGTCCATGGGCGGCGCTGATCGCTTACCATCCGTATGCTCGTTTGCCTCCTATTCTATAAAAAAATATTAACATACCCATCTGCAGAGTAGCTCCATCTTCAACGAGATTCTGTCCAATGAGCTTGCCGATCTCTGTCTCCTCAGGGCTGGCGGCCTTGCCCCCGTGCTCAGGCAGCGGCGTGTTGTCTTCCACGGCGGTGTCAATGTGAGACATGTGGATGATCGCGTCGCCAAACGTACGAGGCATGTGTGCGTTCACTTGAGCTGTAATGAGACGTGCATGTTTTAGACAGATACGAAATTATTGTATTGCTTTCTTTGTTCTACTGTTAGATTATGAGCCTATTTGTTATATATGTCGCAGAATCAACAAAAATGCACAACTATCGAGTATCGTTATTTTAGAACAACGCCATCTGTTATCATTTGTCGGAAACGTCAAGCAGTGTGCTTGGGTGATGGTCGGTACGGGGCGTGGCATGTTGACATTTGACAGGCGTCACTTTTGAGTTGGACACGAGGGTGAGCGGTTGTTCGGCCAGCCCGTACCGAACTTACCGCGTTTACGACGAATCCGATGACGAAGTACCCCCAATAGGTGCATTTTCTCCGACATATATATTTTTTATGGCCGGTAAAGCGGTAAACGAGCAGACGGATCACCTGATGGTAAGCAATCAACGCCACACGTGAAACACCAGAGGCGTTACAAGTGCGTTACCGGCCTTTTGGGGATTTGAGGATTGTGAGAGATTCGGGGATTGGGGAGACTGAGGACGGCGGGG